TGCATTTTATTTTTCTTCACTTTTGTATCACAGTGTTATTTATAACAATAAGATATCAAAATATGTATGGGGGTCCGTGAAATTAAATAAATTCCTCAAGGGGTCCGCGAAGTAAAAAATGGTGGGAACCGCTGGTTTATATTAACATGACAAATGTTTATATTAAAATTATTTTCATAAACATAAATTTGTCTGAGATTTTTTGTGGCTTCTTAAATTTAGCTCATTTTATTAATTTGCATTTCCTTGTGTGAAGATGTATTTCGCATGAATTTCAATGATTTTTCAGATGATCTTAAACAAAAGTTCAATCAACTGTTTGTTTGATTATCTGATTATGAGAAGATTATTATTTTGATCTTGAAATATAATAAAGAAAATGAAAAAAAATATAAAATTAAAAACATACATTTTTTCCCATAAATAAAAATGGTAAAAATTTGATCATTTAGGTAGATCCTTTTTCTATCCAGTTAGCAGCGGGTGATATTACCTTATCCTTATTTGCCGAAGTACTAATCATCGAAACTGATGAGAAGATGGGTTCATAAACGAAAAAAGTCTCGGATAGGGTACCGATAAAAGTATAATTCATGATCTCCTGATAATAGCATCAGTTCTGAAAAACATACATTCATGAAACTATAAGTAGAGAGAAACATAAGTAGATAGATTTTCCAACCAATTAGAAGCGAGTGATATTACCTTATCCTTATTTGGAAGATTGCCGAAGGACTAATCATCGAAACTGACCAGAATATGGATTCATAAACGATAAAAGTCTCCGATAGGGTACCGACAAAAGTATCATTTATGAACACCCGACCAAAGTTCTGATCGGAAAATTAACGCATATTTTAATAGTAAATAAGAGTCATAAATAACTCGAATATGATCAATAATTTTAAAAATATTGACTATAGGATATTTATTCTTTTGAATTCTTTGATAAAGGCTTTATATAGATCAAGACTGCGAACTAGTTGTCTTAAGTATACATGACCTGAGTTGATAAATTGACAATACTAAGCTTTGGTTCCAATCTTTACTTATAGTTAACGATGCATTTTATTTCAAAATTCAATTTGGGAAAAAATTTTATAGCATAGAAGAAAACATGGATCGATAGTAACAAAATTTAAAAAACTTTGACAGATTTGTCACATTATTCCCAGCATTAGGACTTGTTCATTATAATTCATACAGAATGATTATCCGTAAACGAAGTGCAGTGAGATTAGATTCGCCATTACAGTGTTACTTTTTTGCACGATTTTACGGATCTCTTCCGAATTGATATTCGTAAGATTGATGGTTTAGTTTGTCACAACTACATCCACTATCAATTGTCTTAATGGTCAAGATAGGATCCGTTTTGAAGACCCAAGTAAATCGGCATCATCTTGTCTGAATGCTTCGTGAACCTAACCCAACATGAGTCGCTCTCTCCACTATAGTGTTTTAGGGTAAAAAAAATTTCCTGAATTAAATTAAATTCCCACTAATACAATTATTTATCTTTCAAGCTGACCCCTCATTAAGTGGACACCTACTAAATGATGCTCGTAAATAAATTGAGGCGCTATATAAATTTTCCAATTACTTATAAAGGGTGGTTCAAAAGTAGGTAAATCAGTGTAATTTTCCCTCGATCTGATACATGAGTGCTGTGAGAAAGTTTGTGTTAAAAAAATTGTGAGTCTAGTTTGCTTGAGGACAAATTCCAAGTTACCAATCGTCGGACGATGTGTACCATCGAGATTGGTGTTTGCTGTGAACGAAAGTAACTAAGTGCTGAAAACACCATGTCTACTGAAACTGAATCAAGATGGCGCATTCTATTACACAGCTAATCAAACAAACGATGCAAAAGGTAGCAACATTTGGACCACCCTTTATATATAATATGATAACTATATATAACTATATACCATGCTAAATGACGCGTGTCACAAATTCAATTGTTATTACGCACACAAATTGAATTTAGGTAAAAGAAAAAATTACGCATATAACATAAAAAAAACTCAAATCAAACAATCCAACTGGCAGTCAACGATGATGACTTTATGTCATAAACAACTAGATAAAGTCAAGAATGGCGACCACTGGTTACACTTACAATTATTATAATTGTGGTATGATTGTAAAACATAAATAATGCATATTTTATTATATTAGCACTGCTGACACACACTGCTGGTCAGTAAAAATTGAAAAGAATTTCAAAAACTATTTACGTCTACATATCTCTGAAGAGTTGTCTCGAAATTGTTTATTCTTTCGTTTTTTTTTTTTTTTTTTTTTTTGTATTTTCGAGGAAACTTAAAGAAATGTAAACTATGAGGATGTAGACTAAATGCATGTGAATGAGGAGAAGGTGAGGGGAGATGAGTGAATAAATATATATAAAAATTTGCTCCCTTTAAAGAAATGTTGTATAAAAGTAGAATATAACATTTGTGTCATAATACTCAAATACAATTGTGTTAAATTCTAATGCACACCTAAAGAAAAACATGACCAGCTGCGTTTGGAATTCCTTATAGTTACGAAACTAGTTTATAGACTTTAGTCCAGACCATAGACTAGACAATAGTCCAGACTATAGACTAGACTATAGTATAGACTATAGAATAGACTATAATACAGACTATAGTATAGTCTATAGAATAGACTATAATACAGACCATAGTATAGACTATAGAATAGACTATAATACAGACTATAGTCCAGGCTATAGAATAGACTATAGCCCAGACTATAGAATATACTATAGTCCAAACTATATACTGGACTATAGTCAAGTCTAGTCAAAAGTCTGGACTATAGTCTAATAATAGTTTGGACTATAGTCTGGTCTATAGTCCGGACTATAGTCTATACTCTGTGCTATAGTCTGGAATATAGTCTAGTCTATAGTCTGGACTACAGTCTAGAATATATTCTGAACTATAGTCTAGTTTATAGTCTGGACTATAGTTTAATCTATAGTTCGGTTTATAGTCTAGTCTATAGTCTGGATTATAGTCTAGTCTATAGTCTGGATTATAGTCTAGTCTATAGTCTGGACTATAGTCTAGTCTATAGTCAGGACGATAGTCTAGTCTATAGTCTGGACGATAGTCTAGTCTATAGTCTGGACGATAGTCTAGTCTATAGTCTAGACGATAGTCTAGTCTATAGTCTAGACGATAGTCTAGTCTATAGTCTAGACTATAGTCTAGTCTATAGTCTGGACTATAGTCTAGTCTATAGTCTGGACTATAGTCTGGACTAAAGTCTCGACTATAGTCTTATCTATAGACTGGACTATAGATTAGTATATATTCTGGACTGGACTATTGTCTAGTCTATAGTCTGGACTATAGTCTAGTCTATAGTCTGGACTATAGTTTAGTCTATAGTCTGGACTATAGTTTAGTCTATAGTCTGGACTATAGTCTAGTCTATAGTCTGGACTATAGTCCAGTCTATAGTCTGGACTATAGTCTGGACCATAGTCTCGACTGTAGTCTTGTCTATAATATGTAATATAGTCTGGACTATAGTCTGGACTACAGCCTAGTCTATAGTCTTGTCTACAGTCTGAACTATAGTCTAGTCCATAGCCTGAACTATTGTCTAGTCTATAGCCTGGACTATTGTCTAGTCTATGTACTGGACTATAGTCTGGACTATAGTCTAGTCTATAGTCTGGACTAGAGTCTAGTCTATAGTCTGGACTATAGTCTAGTCTATAGTCAGGACGATAGTCTAGTCTATAGTCTGGACGATAGTCTAGTCTATAGTCTAGACGATAGTCTAGTCTATAGTCTGGACTATAGTCTGGACTAAAGTCTCGACTATAGTTTAGTATAAATTCTGGACTGGACTATTGTCTAGTCTATAGTCTAGACTATAGTCTAGTCTATACTCTGGACTATAGTCTAGTCTATACTCTGGACTATAGTCTAGTCTATAGTCTGGACTATAGTCTAGTCTATAGTCTAGACTATAGTCTAGTCTATAGTCTAGACTATAGTCTGGACTATAGTCTAGTCTATAGTCTAGACTATAGTCTAGTCTATAGTCTAGACTATAGTCTAGTCTATACTCTGGACTATAGTCTAGTCTGTAGTCTGGACTATAGTCAAATCTGTAGTCTGGAGCGACCAGATTGAAACTACAGTAAATATCAATGTGATAACTGAAGTATCTGCAAAATAGATAGCTGCTCGGATCATTCGAAAGCGAAGATCCATTGCTGCGTTAATGCCCTAAATATTTTGGTGCCTCAAAAATCAATTTTAAGGATTTACATTAGATTTTAGATCTACAAGATTTTTAATTCTTGAAAAAGGTTTGTCAGTAAAGTGTTTTTGATAAGAGATAAAATCAAAATTTCTATAGTTGGTCTCATGTCGTAAGAAAACACTACAAACTATCCCGGCATAATATTTGTAAACAAAACGAAATAAAAACAAGTGTCCAGCTTAACCGAATCGTTTGCACCCTTCAACTAAAGAAAGTTTCCTTTCATACGAAACCTTTAGATGTTTGTAACTGATATTTGAAACAGCTTTCGTTTAATATATCTTATTGTAGTGATTCTGAGCAGTTTGTGGACCAATTTGAATTACTTTTAATAGCGAAATTCTCGAAATATGTTCATATGTATATCTCATAGAGATATTCAGACCTATGAATACTAAAATCTATGCCTATATAAATCCACTACCTATAAGGAACCCGAATAGAATACATAATTATTCCAAAAGGTAAAACAAATTCATAAACACCTATCCCCACCTCTCTGGTGTAGGGTATCTTAATAAAAAACACAAGCATTAGAAGTGCATACACACTTCGGTTTTAAGATGGAACAAGACGACAATGTGCATAGAGTTCGTTTTAATCAAGAATTTCGCCAGCAAAGAACCAACCAGACACACAGATACTCTTACGCAGTACCACAGTTGCTGTTTTAAAGTGCTGCTCAACTCATAACTGTGTGTGATATTTACAAAACTGTATTGTATTCTTGAGTGTCTGTGGCGCTTGATTCTAAAAAAGACTCAGTCAGTCCAGCAGCCTTTAGTATAAAAAAAAAATAATTTTGTGTTGTGATATAAAAACGTGTGCTTTAGAAATCATCCAGTCAATTATCATTGTAAAACGAGACTGAAAACAGCCAGAGACACAATAGTGTAATCAAAACAAAACACATATAATATAAAAAAATATTAAAAATAAAATATATTTCAAAAAAAAGCTAAAGTTAAAAAAAACTAAAGAAAAGAAATTAAAATAAAAAGAATTTTACTTCCGTATAAAAACCATAAACATAAAATAAAGATTATTTTTCAACAAATACTAAAAAAAATCAAAAGTGAAATTTAATTAAAAAATTGCAACCGAAAAAAAATACATAACCTGTAAACTTTTGCCTTTAAAATCAAAAACTATATAAATTGTATATAAAAATGTTGGCAAAAAGATTTCATTTGTTAGTTATATTAGTTTTTACTATTATCCTTTTACTGCCAGTCGGTCAATGTGGCCCGGTGCCAAGAGTGAATGAGGTAAGTTAGGAAACAAAAGAAATCATTCATGCAAGTTGCACACATAATAGAATATGTGGCGTCAGTTTTGTGTTTCTTTGCACAAAAAAATAACATTTTACTCAAACTTACAAAAAAACAGAAAACTCTTACAAGGAAATTACGAAAAATCTCAACACATTTATACAAAGAGTAACAGCATTTTACTAAATGATACAAATTTGTTAAATTTGAAAGTAGGACAATGTTTTCTATCGGGATTAGTACAGTCTTCCAATATCTAGGAACTTATACATAAACTTCCAATTGAAAGAAATCAAACAAACCTATCTTAAGAAATCAGGTTTCTTTGTTGTCAACTGTTGACTTAGGTTTTAACGTAAACATAACTGCAGCTAGATAAACTAAAACTTGTAAACTTTTGACTTCGAAATAACAAGTGTTTAATTAAGCGACAGAAGTGTTTAAGTAAGTGACAGAAAACTAAAAAGTACCAGAAAGTCCAGCTTTATCAAGTTTGTTATCTATAAGGATCCATAATATTGTAGAAATTACAAACGAAATGACAAACTTCAAAAGAAATGACAAACTCATTTCCAACGATTAGTCCCACAGTCACTTCTTTGTGTGGTATCTGTTGCCTTCGGAACCGAATTTATACCGAATTTTAGATTTCACCATACATCAGTCCTTTAACCTACATTCTCTTCCAGCGAATTTGGGTTAAACACACAGCCACGACATTTTCTACATTCCCCGGGGACATGTTTCCTTGATAAAAGTCCCCATAATGGGGAATGCTAACAATAGCTCAAATCTGCCGGGACTATAAACTGGTGATTATCAAATGTATGCTCTGTCTTTCCTTGGAATGATTTAAAATGGGGTTGAACCAGAGAACAACATAATCTGGTACTACGGCCAGTTGCCCACAGGACTTTGTCCTGGCTGGTCAATTGGTTGAGGTTCCTTCGGGATCCACTTAGTGGTTGTGGTTTAAACCCAAATTCGCGGGAAGAGAATGTAGGTTAAAGGACTGATGTATGGTGAAATCCGAAGCGTTGGAAATGAGTTGGTAATAAATGTTTATAATACAGTATGTGTATTCGGATGTTGTGTATTCTCCGTGAGTAAGAACAAAGTTCTCTTCTTAATTGGAGGATTCGTGTTTTGGTCTACCGAATACATCTCTAGGTGCTGTTGCCGATTCAACAGAAATCATCCCATCTGCTTGGTTGTAAACGAAAGTGATATGATAGTCAGAGATTAGATAGCTAGAGTACTATGAAAATTGCGACCGGTACAATGGACGGATTGACTCAGAAAGTGATTATAAGACTCTAAGACCAATATTTTTAGCTGTTACAAACATCAGTCCAAACGCATAATACCCAGAATAATCACTAGACAATCTTTAAATGTACTAATAACCTAGCAGATCTCTAAGATGAGTTCATTTCACTGACAGTTCTCTTCATTCTCAAAAGTTGAGTTAAAATTACTCTATTTCAAGGAATCTTGTAGAGAATAGAATAAACGATATCTTTCAAAACTTTATAAGATGATCGAAAGATTTTGTTAACTACTTTCTCTGTGAAAGATTATAACGGTGCCAACTTTTTATCGGCCTGTGGAGAAACCCGGCTCTTCTAGTAAAAAAGAAAAAATGTACTTTTTGTACATCAGGCACTCCAATCCCTGGTAGCGTTGATACGAATATCGTGATATCATTCGTCTTTTTTTACATAGAAAGCTTTAATTTTAAACAGGGATAATGTTTCATCAGGCCAATTAATAATGTTGATTAATATTAAATGATTCCACTGACGCATTTTTCAAATGCAAACTTTCTTAAGCTAACTGGTTAGAGCTTTAATTGGAACAATCTTTCTTGACCAGTTTGACAATGGTTCAGTGATTATCTTATCTTTAATAAAAAGGCACTTTTATTGTGAATAGGAACACTTTTTCTTTAAGTTATTAAATGTGAACTTGAGAGAGCTTTCATTGATTGCATTCTATCTCTATTGTACACTTTCGAATGGACGGTTCTAACATGGAAATGATCTTGGAATGACCATCTAGTTCTTTGACATACAACATTTCCGTTAAATAGGTAAAATTTGCAGAATTTGTATGAATTTTCAGAATACAGAAGTTATTTTAAAGAGAAAACAAGTGAGGCTGAGCCGACCATATGATACTCTACACCAGTAGTGTAGTATATTTAAGATGGGGGCTGGGTTAAATAATGAACCAAATCAAATTATCTTGAAAATTGCGACTTGTAGTATGATTGAGACGGACAGATATTGCTAAATAGATTCAGAAAAAGTTTCTGATATACTTTAGGGTGAGTGTAGAACTCATATTTCTATGCGTTACATACATTAGCACAAACCCAATATAACCTCACCACTAAAGTAGAATATAATTAAAGCTGATACGTAAAAGTTATAAAAATAGAATAATAAAAAAAGAACAACAATAACATTTAAACCAAAAAAAAACTTCCCGATGTATGAAGATTAGTTCACTTTATTATTTAAATAATCAAAAGAACACATAATTTTTTTAAGAAAAAACTAACTTTTTTTAAGAAAATTCATTGTAAATCAATTTAATCCTATATGTGTATATCGTTTCGAAATTTTTCTTTTAGCAAGAGATGTTAATGCCCAAAGTACCACAATCACATTGTCTACGCTACTTCAAACATGATGTTCTAATGAGAAGACGTTGTCGTCATATACGTGTACCCATAATGCCCAGATTGGGCGATCTGAATAAGTGAGATTACTGATAGAAAAGTTTTTTATAGCAACTACTGTTGCCATTTAAATATAAAAATTAAGCAAAAAGCTTGAGATACAATTTTGATTATTTTAAACAACATATTTTAATTGTAAACTTGTTAAAATGACTGATACCAAACATACATAAGTAGTAGTTGATATTTAAAATAATGAAAATATAAAAGAAATTTTAGTAAAAATTTGATACATTTTTTATAAAGTAACTTAAATATTCACTGTTCATAAATTTGTAGCAAAAAGTTATAAACCAAAAAAGAAAATAAGGAAATGTGCAATTTATATAAAATTTGTTTTAATTTTAAGCATAAATGTTAAAACATTCCAAGAGCCTTGATCTATGGTGTTTTGCCTTGTTGTTTTTTAATATTTATTTAAAAAGCCAAAGTACTTTATAGTTTTTAAGCTTTATTTAAGATTCTTTTTTAATGATTTATTTTTTGAATTTTAAGAATATTAATAAAATGTTTTTGTGATGTAATAAAGGTGGATTTGTTTTTATTTCAAAAGATTGAGTTTTAAAAGGTGAGCAACAAAAATTAAACATGGAAAAAACTGCAAGTAACAGTTCTAAATTGGACTAAGCAGATTCTGATGGATAAGATATGAGTAAAATCCCAATACACCCATATGTGCGGTCTTTAGAAAATTGTTAACAACAAACATTTGGACAGACAGACAATTGCGCTATCTATAACACTTAGGAATAGGAAGATATCTTGGGTATTCAGAAAATTGATAAAAAACATACAGACAGAAAATTAGACAGATGGACGATTTCGCTAAATCGATTTCGATATCTATAAGGTTTCAGAATATGTATATATACTTTATAAGGAAAATTAAATTGTGATTTCAATATCAAAAATATCTGGCTTATTCAGAAAATTATTTAAAAAAGATACAGACAAAGCATTAGACATACGGACGTCATCGCTAAATCGATTTCGATCGGTTTCAGAATACTTTATAGGGAAAATTAAATAGTGATTTAGATCACGAAGATATCTGGATTCTTTAGAAAATAGTTTTCTAAAAATAAACATACGGACAGACAATTAAACAGACGGACGGACAAAGATTCCAAAGATAAGTTAAAGGGTACAGAATAAACTTATTATAAAGTTGAGAACTGGAATTTTAGTAGAATTCGTATGAGTAGTGACTAGGAAGATCTCAAATAAAGATTATCTTTGAATCAACTAATTGTGGGTCAAATGTCAAATACATCAATGTGTTACAAACAGAATTACAAAATCAATATAAAAATTTGTTTAATGGAAATGACTGATAAATGATCCTTATAAATTAAGTTTGTCCAGTGAAGTCTTTTCAGTTAAACATTACGAGTAATATAACAAAACTAAAAGAAAAAAAACTTGACTTACCGCCTTAATAGCCGTCTTATCGTTGTGACCTAAAACTAAAGGACCATTTTGACGGGAAACAGTTTGTTTTTCATTAACAGCTTTAGTAGCATAGGTACCAAAAGTGGTATAATGTAATGATTCCTTAGCTGCATTATCAAATACAATAGGCGCAGGAGCATCAAATTGTTTGTCATTGGGTGAACATAAGTAAACAATTTCCTAAAATAAAACATGAAGAATTATGTGATTATAATAAAAGAACAATTTTATAATAGAAAAAAAAAATAACAAACCTGTTGTTCATTTAAGAAATATAAAGTAGACTGAGCCTGCCAATCAAGATTTATAGATCTTTGTTTGGGATAACGTCGGGGTATCCAAGCAATACCATAAACATTTGGTACATTACGACGTTGGTATATAGGTAGTGGTACATTAGGTTGGAAAAGATGTACTGAAATAGAAGAAAAACGTTAAAACTTTACCTGCAGATTTTTAACAACTCAACAACTTACATTCATTATTGTGTGTCACCACCGCAATTAGATTAGTTTGCGGATCAAATGTCAAGTGTTTAACACTTAATTTCAAAACCGATTGCAATCTTAAAGTCAAAAGATTCCATATTAAAACACGACGTTCGGTACACACGACCACCAAATGGGCATATTCTCCTGCCGCAAATTGTACATGAGTTATTTCCGCCAATGTGGCTTTAGGTGGTAATACATTTTTGGGACTATTTAAAACATTACCTATCTTGTCCGTTTTAGGTTTACTTTTGGTTTTATTGTTTTCTGTTGTATTGCCCAAATTCAATAAACTTAATAGGGGTACTAGATTTTTTGCAATTTTTTCATCATATTGATGTTGTTGTTTACAATGTTGTTGCAAACGATATTTTGCCTTGAAACGTTGTCTTAAATTCAAACGATGAGTCTGAGCGTGTAATTTTTGTTCCACATTTCTTGTATTGCACAACTTACTCAAATATTCAGCTAATTTTGTTTCCATTTGAGGATGAACTTTACAGGCAATACCCAATTTTTGATAAAGTAACACCTTTTGATATAAATTCATTTCATGCATTTGTATAATCTTTTTATACAAAGTGGTTTTTTGTAAATCATCGAGCTGTTTTAAGGGTTCTTCGGTAACGTAAGCTGAAGATTTTTTATCATTTAAAATCTTTTGCAATTCTTTAATTAAGGTTTCTTCATTCGTCTCCAACATATTGGTAAATAATTGCATTATTTTTTTACGTTTCTCTGCCAATTCGGATTTGGCGCCGTTTATATTTTTTGTGGGAATTCTAATTTGAGCTTTTGATACACAGCCATCTAGACCGTTGGAGCCAGTAAGTGCAGCTTTTAGTTTTAGATTATCAGATTTATATATACACAAAGTATTGCCATAGCCGGCAGCCAAGAGAGAACCATCTTGGGAGAATGAAATCGAATCGACTGGAAAATCTTTATACGAAGTTTGTGCTACACAATACCAAGTTTTGCCTGCTTTATAAATGTTGTCAGAGTCTTCAAGACACCACATTTTGATGATGTTATCTTCGCCTACGGTAGCACACAGAAGATTGTCTACTTGATAATCATTCGAGAATTCAATGGCTTTAAAACCTCCCTCATGAGGCAATTCTATATTTGTATTTAAAGCGTAGCTAAAAAATGAAAAGAAAGAAACAGGTTTAATCTTCTAATGTTCACAATAGAGACATTATATTTTTATATCCCAGAGAAATGTTTAAATGTTCCTCGATAGTATAGTGATAAGTATCAACCCACTAAATGTGTCTACTTACTTTTGTGTATCCTCTTGATATTTCCAAAACTTTAAACGTAATTCTGGCAAATGCTCTTCGTCATTAAAAACTTCACCAGTAGCCATCCAATCAATATTAAAAGCCGCCTTAGTAACACGTATATTATATAGAACTCTATCGCTTTCTTTAGACAATAAATTTTGATTGACAATATTAACCTAAAATAAAAAGTATCCTTTAGTCATCATATTAAACATTAGAAAACACAACAACATACATTATACAAGAAACTCTTTGTGTAGGTATTATAAAATTGTAGTGAACCACTGCGACCATTCAATACCAAAGAATTATTACGTGGATTTAAACGTAAACCCGTAGGAAATTTCGAATTTTCAGTATTGTCATCATTAATATAAGTGAATTCTTGTAGATTTTGATGAACAAGATTTTCAGTACCATAAATCTGTATACTATTATCATTTGTACATACAACAACATTTGTATTGTCGGGACTAACAACAATATGACGTATTTCAGAAACCATACGTGGTAAAAATTGTTTTAATTCAGGTCTTTCAACATTCCATTTAACCATTACAGATTCTTCACCGCTACTGTAGAAATGAGCACCCGCGACAGTAAAGCAAATGCTCGTAACTTTTGTATGATGCCAATGATATAGACTCTGGAAATTGAAGGAAATTATGTGATGAAGTTTTGAATGTTTTTTTCTTTCAATTACTTACAGTTTTTATATCTTCTTTGCTGGTAAATTCACGCCATAAGAAAATTTTTCCAAGTTCATCACCTGTTGCTACACAATCTTCGGAGGTATGTACTTGAAGTGCAGTAACTGGTACACTGCGGGCATTCATTAATCTAAAAGGAGGATAATAAATGGTTAGAAGTTGTACAGTAAAACTAGAACTGAACTATAATTGAACTAGAATTATAATGAACCCAATAGTTCTCCGAGTACCTAAACTATACAAGAACATTTCCCCATATTTTATAACTTACCTTACGTTAAACCATGTTTTGTAATTCACAAAATAAACATAATAACCCTGGGCCAACACCAGATTAGGGAAATTTTTATTATCCACTGCTACTAAAGGTTTCTTCATGCTGCAAAATTTATTATAAAATGAATATGTACAATATAAACAGAAAAACAAAAATCTACGTACCCCAATCTTAGATCACAAGGCACGTTAATGAATGACTTCTGTTCACGATTAAATATCCGCCATTGTACGTTTTTATTGGTGACTTTGAAACACACGAAGGCATGGGACAAATTCGATTTGCCATATAAATTAAGAAGTTTAAAATTTGTTACGATCGATTTTTCGAGGAGAGGTATTTGAATGGTATTCTTGAGGACACCAGTTTTCCATTCCCATGAAAAGATTTCACCCTTATTATTGCAAGCAATTAAGATATTTTCGTCTTGTAATTCAAATTCAAAATCGATGAGAGGTTCCGATGAACCCTCTAGCTTTCTGACAAATTGGCCACTAACGGTAGAGTATACTTTCACTTCATTCTGGGCCAAAAACAACAAGTGTCTGATGGGAGAATAAAAGGGAATTTTTGTTTAAAATTTATTTGAGGGTTTCCTAGTTATTGTACTTACTCTCCAGTTTTGGAATAGATAGGAGCATATTCTAAAATATTACCACCTGCTAAATGTTGAAACTTTAATTTGTCATTTTCTTCCATTTCAAAATCCATGTTGTTTAAAAAAAATATTTTATTTTTCCGAGTTGCTGGAATATTTTTTTGTTGGTTGTAGTATATTGCGGCCAATTTTGTACGTGTTAAAAGTAGAATGTGTTTTACTTTTACACTTTAGGGAGTTGTTAACTTAATATTAGTATTTTTACACTTTTATTTAATAGTTTTTAACAAAATTTATTAAAAATAAAACCAAATTTAATAAATTCCAACATCTACCGCACGTGTTGATGTTCAGAGAGTGTTTTTTTGAAATAGTGACAGCTAGAGAAGGTATTTTATCAATAACTATAAAAGTGTTACCTTATCAGGATGGTTATGATATAAGCTAGCAAAAAGAATATAAAAATTGTTACGAAAAATAATTAAACATTATAAAATTATAATAAGAACTATTTTTGCCCAATAGATTATTCAATAGACGGCTTTTAATAGCAATAGTTAATCACATTGGCTTCCTTTGAAATAATTCGTATTTTTATGGCATTTTAACCAACTCAATCTGGTAGCACAAATTCTGTCTGCCATTTAATTTATACACAAGCTGATTATTATGAAACACCATAAACATTTAACAGCTGATCGATTATCAACAAAATTTTTTCATTAATTTACCGAAAAAAAAAAAATAATTTGACCTAGCACGCCGAAAAAAAGGTAAACAATAATTTTCCCCCAAAAAAGTGAATAAAAAAATCAATAATTTTACAAAATTTTCAACAAAAACTTGCCAACATTTATATTTTAAAATAAAATAAAAGTTTTTTTACATTCGCAGCTCCCCTTAATAAAATTGCAACTTCAGCAAAAAAAGAAAAAAATTGAAAAGGAACACGTACCCTAAACAGCTTGTTATAAAAATAGCATTGACAAAAGCCACGAAGGCAGCTAGAAAAATTAAATCTATAGCTAATTGTTTAAATATACCGTGAGTTCTAGACCATGAAGACACGTTTAAGCGAAAGGTTAAAAATAGTAACATTTTCATGGTCATCGTTGTTGTTACTGATAAGCAGCAGCTTTTGCATTGCGTCTACTAATGCTGCCGATAATAAAGACAATAGTCTGCAGGTAATCTATGCTGTTAATGCCGGTGGCTATGATCATATTGATAAACATAGTATACACTATGAATCGGATCCCTTAAATGTGGGCACTGCCTCCGATTATGGTAATCATTTGTTGATTATTGGCAGAGTCCCCGAACAGGATGAGGTTTTGTATCGTACGGAACGTTATCACACTGCCACTTTTGGCTATGATTTACCCTTAGAGGGGGATGGTGAATATGCATTGGTGCTGAAATTCTGTGAAGTGTATTTTAATGAACCAAATATGAAGGTAATTTGGAAAGGGAAAAGGGTAAAAAACATTTTAAGAAAATGGGAGAAAAGTAAAACAATACTTTTTAATGGAAATTTAGAATCAATTTATTGATTTTATATTTGGAATTCAAATTGGAACCTAAAAAAATAAATTTTCAAAAAATGGAACTAAACAAATTTTAACGAGATTTATTTTTCTTTTACATTACAGATTTTCGATGTTGTGCTAAATCGTAAACACGAAGTAGTCTCCAATCTGGATATTTTTGCTCAAGTCGGACGAGGTACTGCCCATGATGAATATGTCTATTTTACCGTAACACGAGGCAAATTACACTACAAAGATGAAATTTCCGATATACGCAATAATTTGGTGCGTTTGGAATTCATAAAGGGTTCCTATGATAATCCCAAAATCAATGCCTTTGTTCTCTTCAAAGGCGATGTCAGTAGAATACCCAAATTAAAACCGTTACACAATGAGGCCATCATACAAGATGTTGATTATAAAGAAATGACCGAACAGCCTATAACAACCACAGCGAGCAGCATTAAGAAGTCGTCTAATGTTAAAAGATCTTTAGCAGAAGAAAACAAGATACCAACACCCCCCTTAGAGGAGGATAATACTTTACTAATGGATGATGATGAAGAAGATTTTGATTTGTCATTTACGGATAATCGTAAAAATAGTAAAACAAGTGGTCCACGTCAACCCAATCCCTATACTATGGACGACTCGATGGTTTTAATGCCAGTTTTTATAGCAATTGGTTGTTTTATACCCTTATTGTTCTGTCTGTGTAAATTATGAGTTGATTGAGGCTCTAACGAGAATGACTTATCTATCTTAGCTTTATTTAAACATCGATTTACTTTATTTCCAAGCTGTGGAGTATGGGAGCGTAAACCTAGGGTCCTGTAGTTTGCTGTTTATTTTGTTTAATTATTTTCTTTAAAAAAAAACGCACAAATTTTTATTGTGTTCGAGTTCGAACAGAGAAAGTAGATTAAAACTAACTTTACAAATCTTTATAATAATCTAAAATTTCCTTTAAATCATTTTAAATATCTACTGCCTATCGAATATTTCCTTTAATATGTTCTCTTGCTTTCCTGTTTGAACTCAGAATTATTATATGGGCTTTTTTCAGTTTTTTTATATCATCATTGTTGGTAGTTAAAAGTTGATAATAATGACTTTCCCTTAAGTACTTAGCATTTAATTTTATTATTATTATTATTATAATTATTTTTTTAATAATATATTATTAAATAGAAATTTTTTATACTTTAATGTTCCTTATTAGGATTTATATTTATTTTGTTTACAAACTAATTTATTAAAGCACAAATTTGTATTGCACAATTTATTTTTGTCAGAAATATAAATAAACGTTTATGTTTATTAGCCAGCTTTTAGTTTTATAAATTTAT